TCCTATGTACATACGTTTTAAGAAATACACAAATCCCACTCACTCGCACCCGCATCCCACAACCCCTAGTAACGTTAATCATGAATATATTCGACCTAGTTCACTTCCACATCGAACTGTTCATTATATCTCAATCTTCCTGGTTTTCTGGTTACGTAATCTTGATTGATCTAACAGTTACTAATAGGCATTTAAAAATGTCACTTACAGGAGCTGACCAAAACGTTTCCGGATAGGCAGTACAAGACGAGTACGAGGTGCAGATGATCTCAAGTCTATGGTGAGTATTGTTCAGGGATTGCAACTCACATCTAACCAAATATCAACACAGCCAAGAGCACAGCTCACAAGTTATACGAGGGTCCCGCACTCGGACGCACTCAGGATGGAAGTCAGTCCATGTCACTGGTGAGCGATGATTTTCTACGACCACCAATGTGGTTTACAGCCGCAGCAACGGCATGATGCGTGAGATGCAATACTATAGTAGTCACCAACAGTTGCAGTCGAAGCCTTCACTGAACTGGTTAAAAGGTTATCCACTTCGAGATGACCAAGCTGTTTCAACAAGTGGTTTGAGCGCATGGAACTGTGCGTGTGTGTGTGTGTATAAATGCAGGAGGAGAATAAGTTGAGAAAAATTGTTATGCATATTTTTGTGGAAAAAAATCAAGTTTTATGTTTCCGGAAAATTTTGGCTCAGTCCTCTTATTTCTTAACTATTACATAGTTACATTTATACACAAGTTTCATTCTTCCTCTCTGTGCAAGACCGAGCGATAGTATTCTTTCTAGTATATCCTATCATGTTCATGCCGCATCTGAGACGGAACATCCCCACCGGGGCTACCCACAGTTGGTTCAAATCCATTTATAGACGTGCAGGACCATATCACAACTCGACTGTGAATCATTTTTTCCAGAATACTTGTTTGAATACAGAACAATTTTTTGCGAAATTGAAAACAGAATATATTTCATTGACATACTACTGAGTGGATAAATGTTTTCCCTGTTGTGTAAGGCATTTTTGTCAAACAAAGTCGACTGTGTCCCTCTGTAGACAATTACATTGCAGTTTTGTCTGGAAGACAAAGTGTTCTCATTTGCAAACGCATCCATGTGAAGATCAGTTTAGGTAAGGGTTTACGCATTGATATCATCTGAGATTTCCTAAAGCTGACTGGTTCAACAAATTGTTTCACAGTCAAAACAAATCAATTGTTTGGAATGAGTTGAAAAGACTCTTAACTAATCACTATCTTCCAAAACTCAAAACAAAGCATATGGGGTGAGGCCCATGTTATAATTGGTAACTAATATATGTAAATCCACGCATTGTTGTTCATGAGGATATAAGCTGCTCGATCAATTGCGCCAAGGCTTCTTCCGCTTCTGGAAGAATGTCGGCTTAATTTGGTCGGTTTGAATCAGCACTGTTTCCTCCTTTGCTATCAGTGTATATTCGACCGTACACAGAGTACGCCATCCAAATCTGGAGCCCATGGTTGCAACGTGATCGCATGATGCTTGAGCGCCCACAAACGATAGTCACCAAAATGATCAAGGGATTGCATTACTTCACCTAAGAGGAGAGATTACAATCACTGGGACTATATTCTGCTCAGTACCGCCGAATTCGAGGAGACTTGATTTTGACGTATCTATTACTGCAGTACCCAAACCATCCATGTCGGCCGCTGCTCATGTTATCGAACAATTCACACCTAAGGGGACACTGTTTCAAGTTACTGATTCCAAAAAGTCGACTGGAATGCCGGCGCCAATCTTTTGCATTCAGAGTATGCAGTACTTGGAAGACCCTTCCATCTCACATCGTGAGTGCACCAACCTTGGTACGCCTCACATTCCTACACCATTAAAGCAAACGCAAATTCATTGAAGCCTACATTTTCTATAATCTCCTACCTGGAACTGTATGTGATTTTTTTCGCCGTGAAACGATTGACTGGAATATGAAAATTGTTAGCTTTTTCTTTTGTTTTTGAACCGATCTGGATCCACAAATGCGCAATACAAACAGATCTATAGTCTGTGATTAATTTTATCGTGCACGGAGGTGGCGTGAATTGGAAAAAGGCTAGGGGAAGCACTGTACCACTGAGGCGTGGGATGAAATGAGTGAGGTTTGATGCTTGTATGATTAATAGACGAAATAAAAAAAGTCCGGATCAGATTCCCGCTAGTGGAACAGTGTATAGTTTGCTTGCATTCTCCACATGATGAAACTTGCAGGTGGAATACATTAAGATCGGTTGATAGACTCATACTGTTAATGAAATCAAACTAGGTCGAAACAGGGCGTACAGCGCGGCCCAGCTTTTCAGTTCACGTTTTGTACCTGACGGAATTCATCACAGCATCTTGTCAAACTCGGATAGATCGTGGAACATCTGAGATGTATCTAAATTTTCTGTTCTATTCCCACTGCCCCGGAAACATATTGTCAGAAAGAAGCAGAAATCATTCATAATATAGATGGTTCAATTATACGGAAATTATGTTCATCCAGGAGGGTGATTTGCATTTGCTATTTGTGTGCTTGTAGTTCGTTAGAAAAATTAGGACTCTCTAAAACTCACTCTCCTGAATAATTGTGTGTGTGTGTCACGTTCTCCCCTGAATGATTTTTACACCAAACGGTACGCAACGGAACTTGCAGTTCCAATCAAATTGTGTGAACCGGTTGACTAACAGACATGACATTTAGACCCACGTAGGTTTACTTCCCCGTATGAGTGCGCCAGTTTTCCACGTGGCCCCACACTGAAAGGTGAAATGAATGAATCACTGATCAGCAAGAAATTGGGACTGTTTCGTACAGGGTGATAACCAGTCACGATAACATTTGATCCACACCATCAGTGAACGTGTTCTCTCCTTGTTCACACTACGAACTATGATGTCTTGGAGCTGGTTTGTACTGTGGGGGGAAACAGTAACTGCTCGTCGAGTGCTGTGTTAGTCTGGGTAAAAACGGAAGACAACGCGGGATACCGAATGGTATGAATGGTGCATCCACCAGTATGAGCGAGCTACCAACCCGACACTGTCTTAAAACTTGTGAAGAAAAGGTTAAATGTCAAGCCCGGGAATCACGGTAACCATGAAAGTGAAAAATTGTGCTATTTCATTGCCTCACTTACGGCAATAACCGATAGCGTTCCAGCTCGTTCAACTTTCAGATGGTCTAACCAGCTGCAGTTCACGAAGCCATTTGTTTGACAGCTGTTGTATTGTATTGTATTGTATTGTATTGTATTGTATTGTATTGTATTGTATTGTATTGTATTGTACTGCATATTACTTTACAAGCACTGAAGCTTACATTTCAGTTTAAAGATAAAACTATACATGGAAACCGTCACAAAGAACATGTCCAACGGGAAGAAAATGTTTACAGATATGAGGAAATTTCACAATCGAAGGTTAAGACAAAGTTCACTTATTACCCTCTGTTTGCGGGTAGAAGTGCAAGACAGGGTATAGGTGAATTTCAGTAGGCGTTAATTTGAGATAGAATTTCGCGGAACCGGGAGCATGTGGAATGATGGGAACGACAGTTCCGCATGTAATGGGTGGTCAAGACCTATGAGAATCCTATCCACAAATTGGACACAGAAATCTGCATGATATTCTGAAGGCTCTACAGCGAAATCATTCACACTGCTAACAAAAGTTAGACCACCGAGCAAGACTTCGAAATCCTGTTTAAGTAAGCCAGGAAACACAACTGTGGAACAATAAAGTAAGATGGGGAAAACATACTGATAAATAAAGGTACAAATACCTGACTGGGGTGCACGAAATTGCCTGAACTTTCGATTTTGAAGTGATAGGCGCTGCAGTTTAGCAATGCAGTTGTGGATGTGGGTTTGATGAATGGTTACATTAAGATATTTAAATAAGTTCACCCCAGATAAAGGATTGTTATCTATCACTGTGGGGTCTGTCGGACACGGAGAGCGTGCAAAACTACGTAAACACTCAACAAGTCCACTGGGGTTTAAGGTTAGTCCCGATCGAGAGGGGAATGATTGAATTTGACCAAGATTGTGAAGGTGAAGCAGCTCAGATCAGAGTAAGAAGAACTGCATGGAGAGGATCATTCATCAAAGCACCCAAATCGCATGATACGAACCGAGTAACGGGATTTGTTAAAACTCAAGGAAGAAAACTGGTAAACTAACCCCATTTTCCAAAAGAGCTTACTGGAGACAGTTTATTTCTTCAGGTAGACAGCCAAGTCCAAGACCAAGTCCAATTCACGAACGATAGGATTTATCATTTTTGCCATTTTCAACGGTACAAAATTAGTAAAATGATTTGGGGTTAACCTGTCCATTTTGTTGAACTGAACGACTAGGTGTCTTCTCGGACTCAAATAATAACGGTTTGGGTGATCTGTTCCGTTCCTACAGGAACTGAAAAACCGAAGCCCAGAACTTTGGAGATTGTTCGACTGTAAGTGACTGCAATTTCATCCAAGTTCAGAATGGTGACTATAGATTTGCCACCAGTTCTTAGTTTTCATGGCTAAAAACAAATCAATCATTATTTTTAAAAATGATCAAAAATTTTGTCGAAGCAGATATAGTCCAGCGTTTTGGTGGGAATCTCTGTGGCTAACGCTTCGCAGATGAAAAACGAAGAACTTCGCCCTGAAAGCTCAGACAATTTTATTCAAATTCGTAAATTTATTCCGATAGATTCTCAGGAAAATGAAAGATGTAGCAAACAAGCGGAGATAGTCAAATCAAGTTTCTACAATTTGTAAAGTCGAGCTTGATGAGTCAGAAGGTTCATTCAGTTATCTCCTTGTATTGTTTACCTGAGTTACACGCTGTGCTCTAATTGACCATTTGATAAAGTGCTGAAAGCAAGCCTGATTGTCACAATCTTTCTTACTCTATGGTTGAATTTGAATTTCAAACTGAGTGAAGTAGATTAACGAAGTGTGAATCTCAGTTACGACAGGCCCACTTGAAAACATCTGTCTTTTAAACCATGATCAATGAAGCATCTTAGAAAAGCGCAGCGGCACGTGTATACTGAGCGAAACAATCGTACGTCCACTTAATTTTTCAAGCATTTTCTATACAATGTCTCACGAAGCCATCTCTGTTGGAAAGTGATTTATCTCATCAATGATCGCATTGGTCGCATTAAGACTTTTTGATTTCCCGATTTGTATAACAATGTATAGGTATACCATTCAAATGACTACTAACAAATATGGCACACTGCAAACCCGTCCACTTATAGCTGCTTATTCTCCCGGGTAAATATTTATCGTAATTTAGTGGTACCCTATTTGGCTTACATTCTAACTGACAAGAAGAATAGGCCTAAATGAATTATTTTTATATCTACGAAAATAATATTTTGTTTACATTGTAAGCATTGTTTTATATAACATTTTTTACCCGATGCAATGATGAACACGTTTCTTGATTGAACTGTTGACATAATTGTTTTCCCAAGTCATTACAAACAAACAGAAGAGGTGAGCGTGGAGTGACAATATTTATTATACTGTCTCAATCCAGACTAGGACTGGTTGCAAAACGGTTATGTGTATGTGTAAATTAATTTGTACTGCTTGTGTCTCACGCCGTGGTTTGCGTCGTACCTCTCTGTTCATCTCACCCGTGTTCCTCATTGGTTGTGCAATATTTATCAATTTCCGATATCCCATATAGGTATGGTGGGAGGAGTTTTGTTTTATTCGGTTTTCTCTTTCTCCCAATACATGATTGGACGAAACTTTTGAGGTATCCCTTTGCACGGAACTGATGGATGCTACAATGTGTGTCCACACGGCGGAACGGAATTCGCGAACAGCTTCTTAGGAGATTGCTATCGCAGTTCAGCACCTAATCGGTTGGTTTCGGTTTCCTGTACACGGTCGTTTCTGTGTTTCCATCTGCGTTTCGTATACTGAGGGCTTCCGAGAAGGGGAGTCCCGTGTCGTTTTCGTCCTCTTAAATGAGTGTCATCCGTAGCACAGTCTTGTTTAGGTGATCATGGAATTGTTCAATTTTTGGAACTGGTAGCACCACAAAAGCGTCGTTCGGATCCAGAGACCAGGACCATATTATTCAAATGCTTTGGCTTCAAACTACTTCATCACCGCGTCTGACAGCATGCCGAAGATTGGTGATCTCATAGAGGTGTCCTTCACTTTTCGACAGTTCCTTTCCTCAACCGATAGGTATGTTTCCATACAGGGTTCACTCAGCTACATAGTTTCAGTCACTGACAATGGTGTTTTTTAGGACGACGAGACTCATCATCTCTTATTCAATTTTGCACGATCTCCCGAGTTAGTCGTTTCAATGAGTTTGTGAAATTTGATGTGATGTCAGATAAGTTGAATTACACTGGATATGTTATATCGGTTCAACTCGTTAGTCTCAATGTGATCTTGGTTGCCTTATCAATGATCATTGATCTAAAATTCAGATCTCAATTGACAAGCGTGACTGGATTTAATCTCAATGATTGTAATTTCTCCTCACAGGTGAGGTAATTCAATTCTTCGATCATCTTGACATCAGTCCTTTGTGCACAAGCCAGCCAGCATCTTTCGATCCCGTTGCAACCATGGACTCCAAGCTTGGATGACATCTACGGTCGAATTTACACTGATAGCAAACGTGGAAACAGTGCTGATTCAAACCAGTCAAAAACTTACCTAAGCAAGTCAACATTCTTGACAGCAGTGGACGAAGACCTGAATCAATTGATCAATCAGGTTAAGTCTTCTTGAAAAATCATACCGAAGTTTTATGTGGAAGTTGGTGATTTTCCTAATAGGTAAGTTGAAATGATTGTTTCGAAAGTTTTTCGGTCAAACGCGTGACACGTTACCATCATTGTTAACTGATTGTCTATTATTTGAGTTATTGGTTAGTGAAGCATGTTTGAATACCGTCATTTACTTCGGTGATGCTGAAGTCTATTAAGTAATTCTCTCTCCGTTGTTCCGTAACTCTACCAGTTCAAACCAGAATAAGCTCAAGGTCAAGTATCGAAGCACCCAACATAGTGACTCCTTTGCAGTGAATTTATTCTGACAAATTAAAACCCCTGAAAAACAACTGAAAAAAAAAGAATCCACAACTAATGAGATTCGATTGAACATTTCCATTTTTGGTGATAGTTTGAAAGGAACGCGAATAGAATCCGGAATAGATAGACGGTGCTTTGTGATCGATCCAAAAATGAACACTTCTCATTCAAATTGTACTCAACTTAGACACAATTGACCTACCCTCTTCCGGTGCCAGTTCCGGACGATAGAAATGAAAAGCCAATGCTAGAAGATTGGCCATTGCTAGTCCACGTAAAAATCGATCGGCAGTATCATCCACCGTGTCTGAACCAATGGTGTTCGATGAAGCACTCGACGAGATGGAATCCACATGCATTCTTGATTCATCGTCCAGTAGATGATTTTCTAACCAATCTGTACAGTCCTAATCGAAATAAAGTGAGAAAGAGTGTACCACTGAAAGATTGAGTTTGAAATTAGCATGTTTGTGTATGTGATACTTCTGTTATTCGAACTGAACACTAATCAAGAATATCATTTGGATCAGTCACAAATCAATAGATTATGATGAAATAAACATAAGTCCGGAATGAAGAAACACACACATAATAAACAATTTAAAGCTATTGTGTAATAGTTGTCAGGGTCCTATTATGTTTGCATGTGTACTTGTGCTTTTTTTCCATATTGAACATTCTGCGAGCACAGCCATATATTTCCGATGAACCTATCGTGGTAGACAACATGGGCTCTCGTCCCAAAACCAAATATCCCCTCTCCGAGTTGATCACCGTAGTGAATCGCATTGGACGATAGTGAACACGTGGCTCAAGTTACCTTTACAAACACACACTTCTCCCTTCGATATAATACTTGATTTCTCCAATCTAGTTTGGAATATGAACAGTAGTTAGGCTAACCTTGTTTATTAATCAGGCCTTGTGTGTTATTTTGGTGATCTGAGTCTTAAGAACGAAGTTTGTATTGAACGACGCCCTAGAAATACGATAGTGTTCGATAGTCGGATTGAATGAAAATAAGGAGTCATTGAATGTTCATTGACCAGTATAGATGCTGACAGTAGATCTTCAAGGGACTAATGAGACTTCACTGGGCTCAGTTTCACCAACGTGTTTTTAGCTTTACAGACACCAACTCAGAATAACAACCCTAAATAGCTAAATGGTTTCGATGAGCCATGGTCNTTACTCGGTTTCTCTTGATCAAACCGCATTGGGGTGTTAATTGACGTATGCCAACAATGGCGGTTTTGGGGTTTTTGGTTGTTGTTCTTGAAAAACGGAGTTATAAGTGATGAGATGGTAACAGAACAAAAAGGCTTGGTTGCCAAGGTCACGAACGTGTTCTACGGCAGGGACACATGCCCATCATTCTGTTACGTGGATCGATAGATTATCAAGTCTCGGTTGAGAAAGGCAATAACCATGAGCTATAAAAAGTAAAAGAATCAGGTAACTAGAATCCAAGATGATAACCAACGAGTGCGGAAAAAAATAGCTGACTCAATCAGCCCCGGCCTTGTATTGCACACATCATCGACTCCAGTTCTGATGTTTCATCAGACTAGAGACATACGGACAGATCTAGCATCCGATCCAACGTCAGAAGATTCTCGCTTCGTTGTTAACTGAACAAAAGCTCTGTATACAATAAGTCTCCTTGGTCCCACTCAACGGCTAATAAAGATACCAGTTACGGCGAAAAACGCTTATTTTATTTACTCGCTTCTGTCACTGATGCAAAAAGATCTCTCCATTTATAAAAACCATGATAAACATACGAGTACGCATTGATGATGAGTGACCGAGAACAACAGTTCAAAAGTCTTCATTGTGCAGCATCTGCTCCCATTTTGTGTTCATGCATATTTTAAATCCAACATTATGTCATCCGAATACATTCAGATCGAATCTAACAAACCAAAATGTAGTTTGCTTGTGTACTATGCTCTGGCATCTACTTCGCTGGAGATTTGTGCACTCAAACCCATAAACACGTCAGATAGACCGCAAACACCCCATCCTTTGGAAAACAAAACCGAAGATGAACTTGCCGTCTAATGCTAGAAGAATTCGTTCTACTGTATAGTTACATAATGTGATCCTACTCTAGGCATCTCATTAACGTATTTTCTAGCTCTCATCCTCAAGTGGCAGAGCTCCGTCTTAATTTGAGTAACCATCAACTCCTCACACACACACACACACACACACACACACTTCTGAGCGCCGGTTAACTAGTCAATCAAGCATCCTCTGGAAAACCTCTGACAAAATTGAACAAACTGAGGGAGTGCGCTTGCGAAACGGTTTTTTCGGATACGGGAAAGTTCGATGTGCGCAAGCACAACGGTTTCCGGCGTGTTTTGAATCATATTGCCCGAGGTTCGAGCCCCCAACACAGCCACCTAACTTAAGGGTGGTAGGTAGCTTTGCTGTCGTCCGATTCCATATCATGCCTAATCTATCGGGGGCTTATGTGGTTTCTCACTCTATGCCCCAGGGCTTGGTTACCGGTTTACATCACTGAACGGCAGGTCAAAGTGACTACGGGGTTTACCCTGTCTGCTAATCATCACACTAAAGTGTATAATAAAAACGTCTACAGTGTAAACAGTTGATATATTTGGTCAGGTTGCGGTCTGGCCACATCGAACTTTACAATCGGCCCACAATGCTCAGGTCCGGCACCACAAGTCAGGAAAGTTCTGCTAGCTCTGCTAGCATGCATACTAAACATCAGTCCCAGTTAGCACAATCTGTGAGCTCCAAACGAAATGGGAAATTATCGCAGTTTAGATTTCGTACACATGTCTGTGTGACAGAGGTCTTTACTCATACCCCTGTTCCTCTCACATTCAAATTCATTACATTCTATCCTTGTACTTTTATCCTAAACTGACAAAAGAAGTAATCGTTGCCCAAACAGCAAACAGTAGTGTGGCAACCAACAATAACGTTGAGGGGAGAATCAAACGTGCCATTTCAAGAATTTGGAACTTCCGCAGTTTTACCCAAATATCGCTATTAGTGGTGTTGCGAGATACTACTCAGTCATGAGTAGTGCACAAAAAGAGATGATCAGCGGTTTCTTTCAAAGAACAANNNGAACAAGATGAAGAAGACCTGTTGAAGCAAACTGTTGCTGTTTGATACGGTGAACACGGGAATGCGCATCTGCTAGTGGACCGTTGCATTACATATGTTGTGTGTTTGCAAAAATTCTGCAAAACTTGTTCCAAATGAGATATTTTATTTTATGAATGACAACAACCACATCCTGACCCTTATTGTCGATAAACGATTATCCTCAACCAGTACCGTCTTCTGGAATTATAACAGTGGAGAACCAAGTTACGTGTGCGTGGGTTTTCACATTTCTTTACGGATGTATACGTCTTGAACTTCGCCACTTGATGCAACGTGTTCTGGACTGAATCGTTCGCATACGGTACGTGGCCAAAGTATCTAGCATCATTTTTGTTATGGATGACACGTCTGTAGTCCATTCCCAGTTGTCCATCTCCAGCCAGAAAATGCTGAATGGTTACCCGGGTAAGAGTTTCGGACCAGTCGTCCTAGTCGCTGGATTACTAGTTTGATCTTCTCTGTCGGCCAGATGTCGGAATCCGAAATCATATATACCGAAGAAACCCCGATTCATCGGTGGATAGTAAACCCAGCGACACGCCGTAAATTTATATCACGCGCTTGCAAATTTTCGGGGTATGGTTTCTATCGAGAAGAACCGGAAGCCCGAATTTACCGACTAGAACTTCCGAAACTGGAAGCGCTACACGGACACAGGATATGCTGACACTGGGATTGTCACACAGACAATGTCTCATACAATCACACAGTGTCAACATCTAGCCAAGTAAGACAATCTTGGAATGAAGGAATTGGATTGAATTCCAATCAACGTTTCCATGGGTAAAGCTTAACTGTTTGGGGAGCAATTCACACCAGGGTTTATCGCCAGAGCGAAAGGCTTATCCTAATGGGTTTCACGATCAATTTAAACAAACAGTGGTTCTTCAAGTCCGTGAACCGGACCTCAATGTTTTCTTTCGCCTATTTATCCAATCAAACTGTAAATTGAAACAAAACGTGCAGAGCAGGCATCGAAATTCAGATAAATTATGAATTCAAAACAAATAATCGCAGAAAATGAAGGTTGATATATGAATGACACCGTTCAAGACGCCGAGATATTAAGCTCGTCTTTATGTGACTAAGGGAAATGGGGAGGATATTGCGACCGAAATTGATCAGACGAGTTTTCGTGAATTCAATGCAAATCATTGTCTGGCTTCTCCTAGTTTTTCCATTCCCTACCGGGTTCGGCAATAATTAGGCGCATTGGGAAGCACCTGTGCAACATTCGCCCAGAAAGATCGAACGCGTGAGAGGCAGTGCGCGATCGTGCACAGCAGCCAGTCTCGACAGGGCTCTTCCAATTGTTCCAACATACTCATGCAATGATGTGTGGAAAACGGCTCACGAATCCTGATTATTCGCGTTGTTCTTGATGGTGGTCACGTGTTGACAGGAGACAGTGAAATCGGTCGGTAGCATAGACTCGGTCTTTCACGGACAGCCCGGTGTCACAGCACTATGTGGCGGTTCACGCAACATTGCGAATTACTTGAATTACGGTCTGTACCAGTGATCACTTTAATGTCCTGAGATTCAACAATAATAATATTATACTGTCATGGTTAACAAGCTCCCTGAAACAAATGACAGCATTCAAAATCTGTAAGAGAAATCTGATTCACTGTGTTTAGTTCGCGTTCCGATAAATTACGACCACGTAACAAGTTGATCTAGATTTCTCCGTATTAATGAATTGTGGTGGTCTCAT